TGTTGTTGTTCTTGCATGTTGTTCTTGCAACACATCTTATTTTCGCACTTTTGTGGGCCACTAAAAATCGTCACATAAGTGGTGTTTCGGCATTCTTTTGACACTCTCGGAGCAAAAAAACACCGTAAATACCGATGTTTTCTGTGCTTCGGAAGCCCAAGACCACGGTATTTACGATGTGTTTTTGCCTATGGTAGCAAATTTCACGGTATTTACAGTGTGTTTTGGCCCGCGCCTAGCCAAAACACTAGGATTTACGCAGTTTTCAGCATGTCCCAAGAATAGCTCTGTCCCTGCCAAAGGCACAAAAACCGTGTAAATTACAGTGTTTTGAAAAACTTCGGATTTTCTTTGAATTTCTCCAGTTCAATTTCTTCTTGAACTCGGTCACTTTTTCCGTTCATTACTTGAGCCAAACCAGAAGGTTTGGTCTTTGAATCTCTGTGAGACTTCTCTGCGACACAGAAAGGATTGTTTCCTTTTTCTGGGGTAAATTCAGGCGCTTTCTTCAAAAACATCCAACAACAAACACAAGCACACAAAAAACGGCTTCCACTCTTTGGCTCACCACACGGCTTCTCAAAACTTCAGACATCTTAGTGGATCCTCTTGGCACCTCAATATGAAGCAAACAGCACAACAATTTCGCCGCAAACCAAGTGTTCCAAAAAGTTGTCAAACGAGTTCCCAACGAGTTTGCGCACTCCAACAACGTTCGAGGACGAACCACATTTCCAAAAAACAATTCCGTACTCGTTCCATACGTCCCACAAGCTCTGAAAACGAGCGTTCACTTTTACCAAACGGATTTGGTGCGAAAGGGCACTTCGTTTGAAGCGTCCCGAGAACGTTCCCAGGACCAAAAACACTGCAAGTGCAATCCCAGGAATATGCTAAGTCACATTAGGCTTTACCACATGCGATCCTAATAGACTACGTCCATGGAAACTTCCTACCAACTGATCTCATGTCAAGCGGTTGAATGCTTACACCAACGTGGATTCCTATAAGTGCTTACATCTCGTGTTCACCTAAGTTCCTCAAAATGCAGTGAAAAGCTACTTCTTTACGTTAGACACACAAAGTGTCTCTAAGAAGTTCTGAGCGTCTGACGAACGGATCTCATGCAACATGTGCAAGCCCACATCCTTCTGGATTCCTTCGGCAAGTCACTTCAGTGTTTGCGAAACGGTCTTTTCTTACCAAAAAAGGCATTTATGACCAAAGGTGGACAAGTGGTACCTACCTGTCTCTGCGATCTGGTCTGAGTTCCACACACTTCCAAGCACGCATCGGCACCCCCAGCGCACGTCAGTGCACAACAATGCTATGTTGATGCTTGCGCTCGAAATGCCATCTAATGGTCACCGCTCCACACTTCTACAGTGTCTTCCATACAAAGCACACCAAACAACAGGTTTTTCTCTGCTGTTGACAACTGCTGAAGATTTCACAACCTTGCACAAACCATTGTCGTAAGTTCACTCCTTGCACCCTGGTTCTTCAAACGCTGCGAACACCGGCAGAACGAAAAGTATATTTATTTTCACACCCCCGCTCGGCTCTGACGGTGCCCAAACTTCTATACAAGCTCCTAAACAAAAACGGCCAAAGAGCCAAACGGAGCTTAGACTATAAACGTTCCAAGAAACGGGAAACTTCCGGCCATTGTGCGACACTCATTCACTCCAGGATCCTTCATGGTGACTCTTCGCCTATAGATCCCACGAGACACTTCGGGCACGGAGCCAGGATACTGCACTCCTCCAGCTCTTCCCAATCAATGACTGAGAAGTTGGAACGCTTCTTCGTCGCGTGGACCCGTCGGAAAGGGGACGACTGGTCAGCAAACCCCACGAGCCCGTTCAGCCACACCGGCTGTTCGACAAGACAAGCGCAGCATTCCACAATCTCTTCCAACCCATACTCGCAGATCTCTGGGCGCCCATCTTGGTGCATGATTCGGCGATAAACGGCCGACCTGTCAGAGACCCCCACAATCACATGTTTTTCTAGTGGCGGTACCTCGCAGCTCTTCTCCTTCTCTTCCTTCTGCTCAGTCTTCATGTCCTACGGCCTTCAAGCCAATCTGGTGCGTCTCCATTGCTTAAAATGATTTCTTCTGAGTCAACAACAACATGTTCTATCTCTCACTGCGTCCGGTCATTGGAATCGGCGGACCCCATGGGAGTCGAATCCTTCATTCGAGAAGCAGGTTCCACTTCGGTCGATGAAACAAATCTCTGCGCTCCAGTCTTGGAACTTTTCTGCAAGTAGTTCTGGACAGAGAAATTTCACGACTTTCAGTGAATAAAAAGCAGTACGAACAGGTCTAACGCTGTCAAGAATGAGAGAGGCTGACAATTTTGAAAAATCATGTTGATTTGCAGCCGAAATCAACTCCTTGTGAATTCCGTCAAGGCAACACCGCTTAATCCGAAGGGCCTGTTCAAGACCGATTTTCTTGGCTATTCTCAAATATGTTCCTTCATGCCAAAGTGAATTGCCTATGGGCCACTCTTGCAAAACTAGGCATTTCCCTTGGGGAAACTCACCAAACACCTTCCCCAGACTGGACCACAACTTCCCATGCATCTGAATCTGACTTTTCCAACGGTCTCTGGACTCTGAGTTGTGAAGGCCAACATGTCTCAACTGAGTGGACGCCGGAGTTGCAATCCAACAAACAAGCTTAGAGGCCTGCTGGATAAACAGTCGCAACATTGCCTGCGTCCCTGTGTGGGCCAGGTCAACAGTCTCACCTATTCCAAAGTATGCCCACGGCTTTCCTTGCAACCGGTTCTCCAAAACATGACCCTTTCCGACAACATGCCTCCACAAATGCTGAGACCCCCGCGCAAACTAAAACCAGGGATTCTCGAAAGATTTCCAAGTGGGGGTGTTTTCGCAACAAGCGGACCCATTTCCTAGATGACACTCTAGTCGAAAAAATCTTGACTTCTGGCTCTTCCACAAAAGTAACGGTGTTACCAGCTACCCTGCTTCCAGGTTTGTCTGAGTTCGTACAAGCCCTGTCGAAAGCAGTCCGTCCAGTCTCTTCCAAGTCATGACTCTTAGTGGGCAAAACCCTTTGTGGAAAAGTACCCTCTGAGGCACCGGCACCCGGAATGGCAAGTGCTGACGATTCTCATCCAAAAGAAGCTGCAAACGATTTTCATCTACTCCGGCATCCAACAACTGTCTCACCAGTTTTCCCAAACAGTGAGCAATCCTACTTCTAATTCTGGTTTGACATCGGTCTTGCATCCAAGAAAATCCACACTCCTTCAACAGGATTCCCTGGTGAACTGCATCACCCGGTTTGGTTAAAGCATCTGAACTGTTCACTGCACCTGGGATGAATAAGATTTCAAGACGGCCTGAGTCTGTGTAAAACTGCAACACGGCAACACGCAACTCCAAATGGCGGACCCTTCGCAAGAGTCCCGGCATTTTTTCTATTTGCAAAGCAGCTTGAGAATCAGTACGCAGAACGATTTTGAACTTGCCTTCAGTCCCCTCAAAGAAACCAAGGTCGTTTTTTTTTGGGGTGAGTCCATGAATAATACTTCCCACAAGCAACGACAATCCAATGGATTCCTTTAGCCCCTCTACCAGTGTAAACGGACGACAAACAAGGTACGGGAATACGTCTTGACCAACCCTTCAGGAAATTTCCTTTCCCTTTCGTAGACTTCTTTCCCTTTCCATCCTTGCCTCCAGGCTGCTGTTTGCCTTTACTGCCTTGTCCTTTTTCAGTTGGATCGCCAGAATCCATCCCTTTCTTGCCATTCCCTTTGCCTTTCCCACCTTTGCCAAAAGGTGGACCCTGAAAAGAATGAATCTTGGAAACATCAAGCAAGCGAGTGTTCAAATCATAACACCTCACCGTGTCACAAACGTTGGCATATGTACCCGCAGTCCCATGGAGTTGAATATGCAGAGCGACAGATTGTGGCAGTTGGCGTAGCAAAAGCAAAACCGTGTCAGCTTCTGGGATCACCAAGACAGTTGTGGAAACACGGAGTGAAGGATCAGCAAAGCCACTGTCCAAGATCATCTGTACCTGCTGCAAGCGAGTGTCCACCGCTCCGACCACATCCATCAACTTCGACTCCTTGGTGGAGAAGCTCAAGACCGCCTCTCTAGTAGCCAATGCCTCTGACCTATTCTTCAATTAATCCAAATTCCAAGTTCAGCTTCCGCAAAGCTTCATAGCCATGCGCCTCACCGAACTGCACCGTAGAACTGTAGTGTGCAAGAAGTGCTTCTGCTCGGACCCATCCTGAGATGGATTGCTTCAAGTACGACAGCAAACGCATAGATCTGATGGCTGCTTCTGAGTGCAACCTGTTCTTGGCAATGGGCGCCGTCTCCTGTAAACAAGAACGGCACTCCTCCGGGTACTTCCCCCTTCCAGTCTTTCCTGGCAATCTTCGGGATCTCAACCCCAGAAGGTAACTTGCCCTCTGCAGGAAAATTGGTAGCTCCTGTAGATGCGCCCGTGCTTGCAGTGGATTGTGGCGCAGCAGAGGCCGGGTATCTTGCGAACTTGCAGCTCTTTCCCATTCAAGTCTTTCCAAACGCTCGCCCATCATGGCAAGCATCTGAGCACTCTGGTGTTGCTGCTGTTGCAAAATCGCAACCAAAGTGCCGACCAAATCACCTTGTCCTCCTGGGTACCGCCTATGCCTTCCACAGGAACCGTACCAACAGGTATAGCTCCTGCTGGCTGCGGTGGAGCATGGCCAATTGCCGCCGCATAGTCATGTTGAGCATGAGCCTCAGTTTCTCTGATCTGATGCTCCGCCCTTTGTTCTGCTTCTTGACGCCGCTCCTCTGCAACTCGGTTTGCCGCACGGAGTCGCTGTGCCAACCCTTCCACGTTTCCCCGGTTAAACCCAAGGACATCTTGATCATCATCATCCATCCTAAATGTGGGAACACCGGCCACAGCGTGCGCACCAGGTGCTCTGCTACCATGAAAAACTTCGGAGTCTATTTGAGAATTTCTCCAGTTCAATTTCTTCTTGAACTCGGTCACTTTTTCCGTTCATTGCTTGAGCCAAACCAGAAGGTTTGGTCTTTGAATCTCTGACTTCTCTGCGACACAGAAAGGATTGTTTCCTTTTTCTGTGGTAAATTCAGGCGCTTTTTTCAACACATGCGCAGACAAAAAATGGCTGCCACTCTTTGGCTCACCACACGGCTGCTCACAACTTCAGACATCTTAGTGGATCCTCTTGGCACCTCAAAATGAAGCAAGCAGCACAACAATTTCGCCCCACACCAAGTATTCCAAAAAGTTGTCAAACGAGTTCCCAACGAGTTTGCGCACTCCAACAACGTTTGAGGACGAACCGCATTTCCAAAACAATTCCGTACTCGCTCCATACGTCTCACGAGCTCTGAAAACGAGCGTTCACTTTTACCAAACGGATTTGGTGCGAAAGGGCACTTCGTTTGAAGCGGTGGACACGTGGTACCTACCTGTCTCTGCGATCTGGTCTGAGTTCCACACACTTCCAAGCACGCATCGGCACCCCCAGCGCACGTCAGTGCACAACAATGCTATGTTGATGCTTGCATTCGAAATGCCATCTAATGGTCACCGCTCCACACTTCTACAATGTCTTCCAGACAAAGCACACCAAACAACAGGTTTTTCTCCGCCGTTGACAACTGCTGAAGATTTCACAACCTTGCACAAACCATGGTCGTAAGTTGCAACACTCCTTGCACCATGGTTCTACCAAACGCTGCGAACACCGGCAGAACGAAAAGTATATTTATTTACACAGTTTTGGCTCTTGGCAAGCGCCAAAAAACCCAGCAGAGATCCGCCAAAAAGTGCCCAAAATGGACTTCACACACACGGCGAGGCATCGCCGGATAGAGCAACTCCAAGCATGCAAACAGTTGTGGCTGACTATGGCTGACTGAACTGAACCATGTTGAGCCCCGTGCAACCGTTCCGGAGCTCTTGGTGACACTTATGGCATGCTTAATTTGCTGTAACAAGCAGCTAATTGTAGAGCTTCGCGCGCCGGCGATGCCATAAGGGTGAATTCACCAATGGAGATTTTCGAAGATCATGTCTTTCTGTTGCTGTTTTTTTTGTCGTTGTTGGTGCTGTTGGTGCTGTTGGTGCTGTTGGTTGTTGGTTGTTGGTTGTTAGTTGTTGTTGGTTGTGGTTGTGGTTGTGGTGGTTGTGGTGGTTGTGGTGGTTGTGGTGGTTGTGGTGGTTGTGGTGGTTGTTGTGGTTGTTGTGGTTGTTGTGGTTGTTGTGGTTGTTGTGGTTGTTGTGGTTGTTGTGGTTGTTGTGGTTGTTGTGGTTGTTGTGGTTGTTGTGGTTGTTGTTGTTGTTGTGGTTGTTGTTGTTGTTGCTGTTGTTGTTGTTGTTGTTTCTGTTTCAGTTGCTCAGAGAGAGAAATCCAACTTGTAGGTTTCATGTGAGCACTGGACAGGAACTGTGTGGAAACATTGGAGCTGCAATCTCTCAAAATTTGTTGGTTGATCGTTCCTCTTACGTATGAAATTCTACCCATGTTCTCGTTGGTGAAATGCTACATGTATTTACTGCTTGACATTTGAGATATCCCCACGTTTCATCAATTTTCCATGCATTGGAAAGCACATTGTCCTTTTCTTTCGTCGGTTACAAAGACTTGAATAACACACATTTTCCTGCAATTGATTTGATGGACCACCTGCAGGAAACCTTGCTTGGAATGGATCAAAAAACTATTCCTGACAAATTTCAATTGAAAAACAAATTGCTGTGACATCCATCCTTTTCTCTCTTCCCATACACAAACATTGTTCAAAGTAGGTGGCTCGACCAACGCGGCTTGTTGCCACATACGGCTTCACCGTTAGCCGGGCTCCTCGAACAAAGTCACATCCTGTAGGATGAGCCCACCAGTGAGCCATCCTCAATTGTTTTAACTTAACCTGGTAGTATTGAGGAGAAACCCTTATGTATTTGGGTGTGCACATTCTTAGAAAACTAATCCATAGAACCCTTTAGGATATCTTTGATCGGTTCCTGAACTTGGCTATCTTGGCTTCCACGGGTGCCCATTGGTGGGGTCAGGACCCTTTAGTGCAGGTTGGCTCGCGTGAGACGCAATGGCTAACCATCCTTGGAAAACGACATGTGAGAAACGCATGACCTTCAAGGTGGCGAGGGCAATTTAAGCCTGTTTCGGGTTTGGATATTGGTTGCAAACTGTTTGATGATTCAATATGGAATATTAAGAGTTCTCAAGTGTCTATGGAAAAAATGTCAGATGTAGTTCCTTTGCTTGGAATTTGGTGCGACGCTGGCATATCAGACCTGTCCTTGGATAAATGCTGCTGTTCAATGCAGGGCAAGACGTGGCACTGCTTTGCCCACAATGCATGGAGCTGTTAGCTCAGAATTCATACCACAAGATTTTAGCTCGTGTCGATGGTGGTCATTCTCAAAAGTCGACGGGAACTTTCCTTCAATTGGACCTTTTCAAGCAAAGCAAAGAGGTGTGGGTTTGAATTCCCGGGCCCGCCATTTTTGAGTGGGAAATGTCACACCCACATTGACCAGACCTGGCTGATGGAGTAGATACCGGATACCTGCAGCCATAAAAATCAAGGGCACAAACAAACTGCTGGATAATCCTGGAAGTTGGCCATGGGTTGGTAAATGGCTTAATACATTAGAATATATTAGAACGCAATCATCACCTACTAACCTCCAGGATCAACCAAGTATGGCCCTCCAGACTTGACGTCATTAGCTATACTGGTACTGCTTGAAATTTGACATTGACGTTGAAGCCGTTCATTTCCATTCTTGCTGGTTTGACTCTAGTTTTCATAGCATCCGCACATGGTGCCCACACCTGAAATGGCCCATTGAAGACAAGAGCATTTGTGATTCGATTTCAGGTTTCAATGACCCTTCAAGAGCTGCTCTAACAAAGATATCCCCCTTTTAGTTGGTTGGTATTGCAATCCCCATTTCTTCAAGGTCTGAATTCCGTTCTTTTTTCTGGATGGTATACCTGTTTCAGCTAATATTTTTTGGATTATATTTATTATTTTTTTGTCCCGTGCATGTTGGCAAATTCCCCGTTTTGGTTAATTTGACGTTGACAGTATTTGGTCGACTGATTGAATGACATGTGGATGCTACCTTGCGCGGCACTGTATTTGGCCGCGCCTTTGCTTTGAGAGTCTTCTCATCCAGGTAAATTTGAGTGACCTCAAGGTCACTCAGCTCCCAACTTATTTTAAGGGCGCATGAACGCTTTACTTGACTTGAGCCTTTTGCAAGAGTGGGAAAGTTTACTATCCAACCTAGCCAGCTAAGAGTTTTTTTAAATGCAGAGTCTCGAAGATTGACAATGGATGATGGTTTAACACAGGGGGATCATCCCCAAAGATTGAGGACAGCATCAACATGACTGGTCGGTTGTTTCAAAATGGTTTATGTTTATCTTGCTTGCGGATTTTTGGTCGCTACTACTGGTAGTACCTGGGAGGGTTTTCTCCCCAATGTCTTTCACAGGGGCTGAAGCGCAAACCAGATGCTTGTGCTTTTCGCAATTGGTAAGGACATGGTCGGTTGGTGTTTACAATTTTCGTGTATGTTCCATCGTACCTGGGATGATGATCCCAGTTGAGTGCATCAATACTATGGCGATGGTTTGAGTCACGCCTGAAAATGATGAAAATAATGGACTTCTACTGCCAAGTTCACTTGCTGGTATTGACGATAAACCATTGGATTTGCCAATAGGTACCCATTTTTGGTTAAAACCAAGTGGTACTGTACCCTCCAAATTCACCGCTCCAGTGACCCGGGATGATCTAATTTGCCTGGAATCATTTGAAGGGAGAACTGGCCTGGCGGCAAGTCTTGCGTTTTGCATCGCGAGGTGGATTTTGCATCAGTTTGATCATTTCTGCTGTAAGATGGTCTTCATCCACGTCTGACTTGTTTCTGGGTGTAGCTCTGGACAGAACCATACCCAGCCCAAGTCTTGAGCTGTGCGTCGGGGAGTTGATGGGTCTAAATCCTGCTACCCTGGCGAAAATAACATGAGCTTCCAAATGGATGATCGTTCCCGCAAAAACGGTACCTCAAGCATTGATCCATCCCAACATTGATTTTTGGAAACACCATCCCATAAGCACAGTAAGAATTGACCCATCACGACAGTGTGAACTCCTTCCCCGAAATTCTTGTCCCTTGATTGTTGGAATTTTTGATACGGCTCGGTCTCATGTAGAATTGGTAAGACCGCCATTTGGACACACCATATTGTTTGACACGTCCACGTTTCATTTGCCTTGGTTTCTCCATCACCACCTGCAGCCGCAGTAATATGAGCCACAGTGGACAGATGGATGACACAAGAAGCTCGTGTTGCACACGAGGAGTTCGACATGAAACGCAAAAACGGACATCAAGTAAACCGGTATATGTATAGGCAAGCGTTTGGTTGGTAAGGGGAATCTGTGTTTATTTCAGATTTGGAAATTGTTACAATTTCTTGAGGGATGCATGGGACCTAAAAGTGTTTTCCATTTCTTGATATGTACATGTCTAGAAGTATGGACATGTACATGTCTATCAGCATGTACATGCTCATGTAGATGTACTTGTAAACGTACATATACATTGATGTATACACACACACATATATATATATTCATGATCGACGACATAGAATATGCACTTTTTCAACCCTTCGGGTGTGGACAGAAGAAGAAACTTATAATATTTGGGGTAAAAATATTTGGGGTAGAATTTTGGAGCGCATAAGCAGGGCCAAAGCAAATACCATAGGAATAGCGATGTTTTCATATCGAAAGCATGTGTGAAACCAAGCAAATTGAACTTTTTTTAAGTTTTGGGTAAGTTTTGGGTAACTTTTGGACCAGGATTGAGGAAAGACATGGGTTTCCCAAATTGACCAGGTTTTGACAACTTTTGACATTAAAGAAGGCAATTTGACTTGAACAAAACGATCCCGCGACGAGTTGCCAAATTTAAGGCAATCATTGTACTGACAACTGCACCATGTTCATCCATATTCGATGTATGTATTCCTGCAGCTGATAATTGATGGCAGCCCAAATCAACATCCAAGATAAAAGAAAAGCAAGGGGAGGAAGAGAAGAGAATGCTTGCGGAAACCGCAAAAAACAATATGTCAATAACTTTTGGATCAGACTTGTAAAAACAAAATGGATGTCCCAAATTCACAAGTTTTTGACTACACTTTACATTAAAAGAATGGAATTTGAAGTTCACAAAAGGGTCCCCCCCACGAGTTGCCAAATTTCAGGCAATCATTGCATTGACAAATGTATGATGTTCATCCATATTCTATGTATGGGTTTCTGCAGCTGATAGTTGATGGCAGCCCAAACAAGCATCAAAGAAAAAAAATAAAGCACGGGTAGGAACAGAAGAGAAGACACGCGAACACCCTCAAGAAAACACTCCGTGAATAACTTTTGGATCAGAGTTGTGGAAAGAAATAGGTTTCCCAAATTGACATGTTTTTGGCTACATTACCAGAATGCAGTTTGAAGTTCACAAGCGATCACAAAACGGTATATACCAAAAAGGAAAAGCAAGGGGGGGAAGAGAAGAGAATGCTTGCGGATACCTGACGTAACTTTTGGATCAGAATTGTGAAAAGAAAATGGGTTCCCAAATTCACAAGATTTTGACTACACTTTACATTAAAAGAATGCAACTTGAAGTTCACAAAAGGGTCCCCCCCTTCAAAGAACGGTGTCGAGAACATCCCGGGTTGTTTGAAGGAGCATTTTGCTCTCATTTAGAAGTTTCGGTGCCCAGGGCATTTGAGCGAGCGATTTACGGACCTCCCAGAGGACACAAGGAGGACATTCAGGAGTACCTGATTAGAATGGAGCGAGCGTTTTTCATGCTGTCAAAGGAGGGTGTGAAGCTTCCTGATGAGGCATTAGGGTACGTCCTCTACCGCCAAGCTTCGTTGTCAGAAGGACAAGAGCTGCGTTTTGGAGCATGGGCCCAAGGAAAGTATGACAAGAACACTGTGACTGCATGTTTGCGCAAGCTGGACAAAGTGGTAGCAGATAGCAAGTCTGGAAAGAGTTCTGTCGCCTTTGTTCAAGAAGGTGCTGACGAAGGAAGTGAAGAGCCCTACGAGCAGGGCGATGTCTATGGAGATGATGACGACGACCCTGGTGAGAGCTATGTTTATTTAGCTTATGGTGATCTGGAGCGTGTGTTTGAAGAGCCAGGGCTGCAGGTCATCTTGTCGACTTACAAGGAGGTCAAGAAAGCAATCCAAAGCCAACAGAAAGGTTGTCAGTTTTTCAAGGGCAAAGGCAAAGACCGAGGCTCACCATGGCGCGACTATACCAAGGACAAGCGCAAGGTGCACATTGAGCAGCTCAAGTTGCGCACATGCTGTGCGAAGTGTGGCACGATATTGGCCATTGGGCCAAAGAGTGCCGAGCTGGCGATGGTGGCCGATATTCGAGCAATGCTGGCTCAGTGAAGAGCGCTTCTATGACTGGCGGGCAGAGCTGCTTGACAAGTGTTTGTAATGGGTTTTATTTTGAGAGTGGGGGTTTTCACACTCGATTTTCAAATTCAAGAGTTGAAGGAAGAATTGAAAGTTCGGATGATGTTCAGGATGAGCACTCCCATGGTGAACGTTTGAGGGGAGAATCATTTTTTTTGGGGGGTCAAATTTAACCACCGGCATTTTAGAGAGCTGCTGTTTGTTCGTTGGCCTCACCACAAGCTCAACGATAGCCATTGTGGACACAGCCGCGCAAGATGGATTGGTAGGCGAGCTGGCACTACAGCGGTTAAAAGAGCAGCTGGGAACGCAGAGGGCTTCAAATTGCACACACCAACAAACGTGCAAAAGCTCATGGGGTTGGAGGTCAGGCTGAGGTGATCGGCATAGCAGCAGTGCCATTAGGAATGGCTGGAGCCACTGGAATTTTGGAAGTGACCATTGCCTTGGACAGACCGTGGATCTGCATCCCATGCCAAGTGGACATGTTGCCATAGACATCCTTCAATTTGGTCAAAATTTATATAAATGGTTTCGTTTTTCCTCGAGAAGCAGCCGGAGCAGCATTCAATGAGAGCGACTTCCGTTTGGTTTCTGGCTCACAAAGTGGTTGTGTCATGCTGACACATTGCAAATCTCAAGGGCTCCCCGTTCTATCTCAACATGTCGGATCGCCTGGCATTCTTTCGCCGTGCCTTCAACCGTCAGCCGGGCGACTAGGATATGGTGAGCGGAAGCGGGGAGGCGAGTCGTCACAATCCTCGACGCGCGATTGTTCATTGGCGCATGGTGATGGACAAAGTGACCTTCAAGCCTTGGTTGGACTCGAGGAATCGGTGCACTCCTGGCTGCCTCAGGACTTCCCCTTGGAAACACAGTCTCCAATGCTATCAGAGCAATTGGCAGCGGCTATCCTCACCGCCAGAA